CCTCCTCCCCGCCCCGGGCACGCGCCCCCGCGGCCCCGCCCCCCAACCCCGCAAGAGAAGGGGAGGGGAGACGCAATGCAGCTACTGAATAGAACAATCCTGAGTCTGCATTTATTATTGCCCGCACGTTTTGTGCTGTGGAGCTTGCTCCATGCAGCCGTGGGCGCTCAGCTCTCAGCTGGGCCTCCCCTCGCCCCCGCACCTCGTTTCTTTACTTCCTTATGGACAGAGCCAGAAGAGCCTGCTCATAGTCTGCACTCAGTGGCCTCTGCTAATGATCCAGGCCAAGGCAGGGCCCTCCAGGGCAGCCATGTCTTCAGGGGTAGCTGTCTGCAAGGGAGAGCTTTGGGATGAAGTATTTCCGGACTTTCTGGTCCATGGAGAGGAACATGGTTTGCGCAGCTGGCACGTCAGGATCGGGTGGGAATGGGTTCACGTTGATCCGTGGCAATGGCAATTTGATAGCGTGCACAAATCCCTTCAACAGAGGGAGTGGGAAGATGCGCGGGAGGTAGAACCCTGTGTTGGAAGGAGAGAAACAAAAATATATTGAAAAAGAAGAGCACAGACGTGCAGAGTAGTCGGGACTAGTTCTTTCCTTTGTGTGTGCTCCTACCGGTGGCCAACGTACGTGGCAGTTGGGTACCAACTGTCATATATTCCTATACACCTAAAATTGCCAGTTGAGCCCCTACTGGGACTGCCCACAACCCCTGCCCCCAGAAATGACCGGCTAACGCAGGGCACACAACATAAAAATGGCCATGCTGGGTCAGACCAGTGGTCCACCTGGTCCAGTAACCCGGCTTCTGACTAGGCAGTGCCAGGTGTTCACACCACAGGGCAAGTTCATCTAGTCACAGCTTCTGTCAGTCAGAGGTTTCACAACACCCAGGCTATGTCTCTATTGCGAGGTTTTTGCACAAAAATGGCTGTTTTTGCACAAAATCCTGCGGAGCATCCACACCTCAAATGCGCTTTTGCACAAGTAAAATGGCACAACAGAGGGCTTTTCCGGTGTAGGTAATCCTCCTTCTACGAGGCATAGCTCCTTTTTGCGCTACAGCTATTGCGCAAAAAGGCAGGTGTGGATGCTTCACAGGGGTTTCTTGCTCAAAAAGAGCCCATCAGAGAAAGCACAGGTGCTCTGATGGCTATTCTGTGAATGGCCTTCAGAGCTTTCTTGCGCAAGAGCATCTGTGCAGCATGGACGCTCTCTTGAGATGTGGATGCACTTTTGCACAAGAAGGTTTTGTGCAAGAACACTTTTGCAAAAGCAAGGCTTTTGATACGGTCTCCCACAATATTCTTGCCACCAAGTTAAGGGAATGTGGATTGGATAAATGGTCGGTAAGATGGATAGAAAGCTGGCTAGAAGGCCGGGCCCAGCGGGTAGTGATCAATGGCTCGATGTCAGGATGGCGGTCGGTTTCTAGTGGAGTGCCCCAAGGTTCGGTTCTAGGACCAGTTTTGTTCAATATCTTTATTAATGACCTGGCTGAGGGGATAGATTGCACCCTCAGCAAGTTTGCGGATGACACTAAGCTATGGGGAGAGGTAGATGCGCTTGAGGGCAGAGATAGGGTCCAGAGTGACTTAGACAAATTGGAGGATTGGGCCACAAGAAATCTGAGGAGGTTCAAGAAGGACAAGTGCAAAGTCCTGCCCTTGGGATGGAAGAATCCCAAGCATTGGTACAGGCTGGGGACCAACCAGTTAAGTAGCAGTTCTGCAGAAAAGGACCTGGGGGTTCCAGTGGATGAGAAGCTGGATAGGAGTCAACAGGGGCCCTTGTAGCCAAGGCGGCTAATGGCATATTAGGTGCATTAGGAGGAGCATTGCCAGCAGATCCAGAGATGTCCTTATTCCCCTGTATTCGGCTCTGGTGAGGCCACATCTGGAGTATTGTGTCCAGTTCTGGGCCCCCCACTACAAAAAGGATGTGGACGCATTGGAGAGGGTCCAGCGGAGGGCAACCAAAATGATTAGGGGCTGGAGCACATGACCTATGAGGAGAGGCTGAGGGAGTTGGGTCTGTTTAGTCTGCAGAAGCGAAGAGTGAGGGGGGTTTTGATAGCAGCCTTCAACTTCCTGAAGGGAGGTTCCAAAGAGGCTGGCGAGAGGCTGTTCTCAGCAGTGACAGATGGCAGAACAAGGAGCAATGGGCTCAAGTTGTGGTGGGAGAGGTCCAGGTTGGATATTAGGAAAAACTATTTCCCTAGGAGGGTGGTGAAGCACTGGGCTGGGTTCCCTAGGGAAGTAGTGGAGTCTCCATCCCTAGGGGTGTTTAAGTCTCGGCTTGACAAAGCCCTGGCCGGGTTGATTTAGTTGGGATTGGCCCTGCCTAGAGCAGGGGGCTGCACTTGACGACTCCTGAGGTCTCTTCCAGCTTTATGGTTCTATGAAAAGACTTCTTGCGCAAAACCCTGCAGTATAGACGTAGCTCCTGAGGACGGGGCTGTGTCCCTGCCCGTCTCGGCTAGCAGCCAGCGGTGGACCTGACCGCCTGTACCTAGCTAAGTCTTAGCTGGACCCAACTATACTTTTGGCCTTCACAGACTTGCCGGCAGTGAGCTCCGCAGGCTGGCTGTGCACTGGCCTTCGTTCTGCTCCTTTCCAGCCTGCTGCCTCTCCATTGCATTGGCCTTGCAGCTGGTTTCTGGGCTAGGAAGCCCGGCCTGGCCCCTCCTCCTGGGACTCCACCCTGCTCTTCTGTTCTAGAGCTGTTCTGGGTTACTGACAACCTCTCCCTCTCCTTCCATCTCAACTGGGGAGGCTTTTAAAGGCCTCCAGCCAGCTGGCTCTCACGGCTGGGGTGTGGGAGGTCTGACCTAGTGGTTAGAGCAGGAGTCAGGCCACGTCAGACCCCAGGAGGTCAGAGCTGGAGGCAAACAAGGCACAACTGAGAGTCACATGTCCGGAGGCAGATGGAGCAGGGCCCCAGGAGATCAAAGGCTGAGCCAAGCCAGAGGGCAAACCAGGAATCAGATGGGGCAGGGCCCCAGGAGATCCACAGGAGCGCGGAGGAAGCAGCCCTAAGCAGGGGAGCCCAGTTGCATGGACCCCCATTCCTATCCTTGGGTTAAAGAGAAGCTGGGGATCACGCGAGACCCCCGGTGTCCAACCAGCCGATCCCTGGGTGGGAGCCCCTGTCAGAGGTCAGCAGCCGTCGCAAGTCACCAGCGTGCCTGGTGGGCGTGCCTGGCCCTGGGCCTCGTGACCCTGGGTCCCTGACAACATCTTGAGTTGTTTTGTACCCTCTGCTCAGGGCTCCAGGGTCACTTGGGCAGTGGGGAACTTCCAACGCCTGCTTGTTTGTGTATTTATTTGTCCTTTTAAAAACCGGCCATAGATCCAGCTGGGACCCGGGCAGTCCACGGAAAACTCGTGGAATTGTTATTGCAACTGGAACCCTTCAGCTCCCCGCCCATACCCAGGGGCTGGTTGGTTTGTTGCACTTGTGTGTGGCTTTCAGCTGCATTTCCAGCTTGCTGGGGAAAGAATCGCGTCTCCCTGTGTCTTCGGACTGCCCGGACCGCAGGTCTACAAGAGTAAATCCAGATCCCTGCTCCTCCCTGGGGAAGCGTTTTTCGGGTGGCTATTAACACAGGAGACAGGCTCCGTGGAGGGGAGGGGCAGAGAAAGCGAGGGAGAAGGTGGCACTGCAGGAAAGAGGGCTGCCTATGAAAATCCATCTCCCGCAGGCGGTGCAGGAGCGAAGGGAAGACGGCGAGAGCCGCTACTTACGTTGGGACGGTCTCTTTCGGGCCAGAGTATTGGTCTCTCCTAGCCGCAGGATGGCCTGGCTCCTGGCACAGAAGCAGTGGTTAGTCCCAGCGCTCTGCCGTGCTGGAGACTTCTTACGCGTGGGAGGGGTGTGAAGGGGCACCTGCTAGCGTGAGCCTGCTCCGGGCGGGTGTAGGACACCCCACCCCATAGAGCTGCTCTGCGTGAGCGCTCACTGCGGGTTTCTCAAGTGGCGTGCAATGCAGGAGCAGCCGGCGCGCAACCCAGAGACTCCTACAGTGTCACGTGACCCACTGTTACCCTGTGACCGACGTACGTGGTGTGGGGACGGAGTGCTCCAGAGTCTGCCATTGTTCACGAGAACAGCTCCGGACAGGCTGAGCGGCCGGGTCCCTGCCCCCTCCCCTTTCTGTGTCAGGGAGACCCACGGGCTGGTCCCACGGGGGGGAGGAGTTTCCTTGCTTTGCTTTGGAACGGCTCCCTTGCCATTTCCCTGCCTGCTCGCGGGTTTGTGTGGTCAGAGACACGGAGACCTTTGGCCCCATTTCACTGCAGGGCTGTAAAACCAGGGTGCGTGTCCAGGGTGGGCTGGGGCAGGGCCAGAGCCCAAGCATCTCTGCTGCGATTTCATAGCCCTGCCCCTGCAGGGCATGAGCCGGCTGCGGGGGTCGTACCCTAGGGCTGCAGACGTGCTTTACAGCAATGATCACGGCTGGTTATCGCACTCATCCCTACGGGGCACAGGGACGGGTTAGGGTGGCCTACTTAGCGGTTCCCATATCTCAGCAGGCTGGGACTCAGAAATCAAGTCCAGCCTGTGAGCTCTCTGAGCCTGGCCCCGTGTCTCTTTCTACCGCTGTTCTGGGTACGACAGAGGTAAGAGTGACACAGGGCAAGGCCGTCAGACTCCACCTCCCCCCGGCCCTTCGGAGCACTGGGGACTTGCTTTGCCTACCGCAGGGGTGGGCAAAGGGGCCTCTGTGGGCTGGATCCGGCCCGCCGGGCTGGGCCTGGCCCGCCAAGCCGGTTGATCCAGCCTGCAGATGCCTGCTGCGCCCCCACCCCCAAGGCAATCGAGACCCGGGGACAGGGGAGCATATGAAGTGTCCTCCCCCCACAAGGGGCACGTGGCACCAGAGGGAACTGCTGGCTGTTCAAAACAGCTGGCTGTTCTCTGTTCCCTTGTGGGCAGACTTCCTGTGCTGCCCCGCCCACAGACCCTGATTGGCCTGGGGGTGGGAGGAGCGGGCAAAGTCTCTTCCTGCTGCCAGGGGCGCATGGCACCAGAGGGAACCACCGGCTGTTCAGCTGGCATTTCTCTCTAGGTGCTGGGGGGCATAGACTTCATGCCAATCAGGGTCTGTGGGCGCGGGAGCAGGGGAAGTCTCCTGGCCCCACCCCTTTTGCCCGAGGCCCCGCCCCTTCCAGGCTGCCCGGGACTCCTTCACAAATTATGGCCCACCCCTGGCCTCCAGGGTTTGTAAGAACTGATTGGCAGAGCCCTTTGCCCACTCAGGGCCCCGCCGCTGTGACCAGGCAGCTGGCGCTGTTCCTAGCCCGCGCAGAGCGGCTCACCTCCTGACGGAAGGCCAGGCCAGCACCGTGTTCTTGGTCTCCTGCGCGCCAGCCGCCTGCGGCTGTCTTAGAGCCTCCCAGTCCCTCCGCATTTTGATCT